GGGAAGTGTGGAGTCTTAAACACTGGACCACCAGGGAAGTCCTTCCTTGAGTAATTTAGAACTGTATTGCTCAACTACTAAATATTTGGGGGAGGGGGTCCAAAATTTTTTTTTCTTATTGATTTCTAATTTAATTTTATTGTGATTGAGAATATACACTGTATGTTTTCAATGCTTTTAAATTTGTTGAGATTTCTTCTAAGATCCAAACTATAGTTGATCTTTGTGAATGTTCCATTGGCATTTGAAAGGAAGGTGTATTCTATTATTGTTTGGTGGAGTGTTTACACAGTATGTTAGTGTTCAAGCTGTTAGTTTTGTTAGTGCTGTCCACTTGTTATATCAATTACTGGGAGAGGAGTGTTGAACTCCCCAACTACAGGCATGCCTGGTTTTATTTCACTTTGCTTTATTGAGCCTCACAGATATCAGGTCTTTTACAGATTGAAGGTTTGTGGCAACCCTGTGTTGTCAGATGATGATTAGAATTTTTTATATTTTAAAATTAAGATATGTACATTTTTTAGACATAATGCTACTGCACATTTGATAGACTACAGTATAGCATACACATAACTTTTATATGCACTGGGAAACCAAAAAAATCTGTGTGACTAGCTTTATTGCAGTATTTACTTTATTATGGTGGTCTGGAAACAAACCCACAATAACTCCGTAAACCTGTGTAATTATAGATTTGTTTGGTTTTCCCTTCCATTTTATCAATTTTTGCTTCATGTAATTTGAATCTGTCTTAAGGTTCATGACTATTTAAGATTGTTGTATCTTCCTAATGAATTGACCCCATTAAAATTACGAAGTAGTCTTCTTTATCCCTTGTTCTGAATTCAAATTTATCAGATAGAAATAGAACCATTTCAACTATCTTTTGATTAATGGTTGCACGGTATATTGTTTTATTACTATTTTATTTAAAATTATCTGTGTCTTTATATTTAAACTGGGTTTATTATAGGTGGCAAATAGTTGGGCCTTTTTCATTTTTTAAAATAAATTTATTTATTTATTTTATTTTTGGCTGTGTTGGGTCCTCATTGCTGCCCGTGGGCTTTCCTTTTTTTTAGTTGTGGCGAGCGGGGGGCCACTCTTCATTGCGCCCGTGGCCTCTCATTGCGGCGGCCCCTCTCGTTGCGGAGCACAGGCTCTAGCCGTGCAGGCCCCAGTAGTTGTGGCTCGTGTGCTCTAGAGTGCAGGCTCAGTAGTTGTGGTGCACGGGCTTAGCTGCTCCGCGGCATGTGGGATCCTCTCAGACCAGGGCTTGAACCCGTGACCCCTGCATTGGCAGGTGGATTCTTAACCATTGCACCACCAGGGAAGTCCCTTTTTTTCATTTTTAATGTAAAATATAAGTAACATAAAATATTATGGTATTATGTAGCAAAATGTACATAACATAAAATCTACCATTTTAACCTTTTTTAAAGTATACATTTCAGTGGCACTAACTACATCCATAATGTTGTGCAATCATCACTTTCCATTTCCAGAATTTTAAAATCAAATCCAAACAGAAACTCTGTAGTACCTATTAAACAGTAACTTCTCACTCCCAGCAACCCCCAGCCCCTATTTTACTTTTTGTCTTTACGAATTCATCTCTTCCAGGTACCTCATAAAAGTAGAATATGTTTTTTTTTATCTCTTTTTGTTTCACTTAGCATAATGTTTTCATGGTTCCTCCACATTATAGCATGCATCAGAATTTCATTACTTTTTATAGCTAAATAATATTCCACAGCATATATATATATATATATATATATACACACACACACCACATTTTTTTTTTTTTTTTTGTCTGCATGGTGCAGCTTGTGGGATCTCAGTTCCCTGACCAGGGATAGAACCTGGGCCCCCTGCAGTGAGAGTGCCGAGTCCTAACCACTGGACCATGAGGGAATTCTAATATATCACATTTTAAAATAGCAGTTGGATTTTGCTTTTCTATTCTATCTCACACTCACTGCTTTTTATTTGGAATGTTTGGACCATTTACCTTTAATGTAATTATTTATATAGTTGGGTTTAAATCTACCATTTTCCTATTGGTATTCTATTTGTTTCATTTTTCTTTTTTCCTTCCACTTCTTCAGGATTCTTTTTTTCAGTATAAAATTTTATTTAAAAGGGGCTTCCTGGGCTTCCCTGGTGGCGCAGTGGTTGAGAGTCTGCCTGCCGATGCAGGGGACATGGGTTCATGCCCTGGTCCAGGAAGATCCCACATGCCGCGGAGCGGCTGGGCCTGTGAGCCATGGCCGCTGAGCCTGCGCGTCCAGAGCCTGTGCTCCGCAACGGGAGAGGCCACAACAGTGAGAGGCCCGCGTACTGCAAAAAAAAAAAAAAGGGGGGGGGCTTCCTTGGTGGCACAGTGGTTAAGAATCCGCCTGCCAATGAAGAGGACACAGGTTCAAGCCCTGGTCCAGGAAGATCCCACATGCCGTGGAGCAATTAAGCCCGTGCGCCACAACTACTGAGCCTGCACTCTAGAGCCCACGAGCCACAACTACTGAGCCTGCATGCTGCAACTACTGAAGCCTGTGCACCTAGAGCCTGTGCTCCACAATAGAAGCCACTGCAATGAGAAGACTGTGCACCACAACGAAGAGTAGCCCCCACTCGCCGCAACCAGAGAGAAGCCCGTGTGCAGCAATGAAGACCCAACACAGCCAGAAATAAATAAGTTAAAAAAATTTTTTTAAAATATCATATTTTGGGGACTTCCCTGGTGGTCCAGTGGTTGAGACTTTGCCTTCCAATGCAGGGGGTGCAGGTTTGATCCCTGGTAAGGGAGCTAAGATCCCACATGCCTCACAGACAAAAAACCAAAAAACATAGAACAGAAGCAATATTTTAACAAGTTCAATAAAGACTTTTTAAAAAATATCATATTTTTCATCTCTGGAAGTTCTAGCTGAGACTTTATTCATATATGTCTTTTCTTCCTATATTTATGTTGTCATATCTTTGTGAGCACATTTATAATTTGTGAATGCATATTTATAATAGCTATTTTAGCATACACGTCCGCTAATTCCATTTTCTGTTATTTCAGAATTTGTTTCAACTTACTATTTTTTCACCTGGTTATGTGTCACATTTTCCTATTTCCTTGTATGTCTGGTGATATTTTAATTAGATAAAGATTATGAATTCTAGATTATTTGGTGCTAGATTTTATTGTATTCCTTCAAATAATGTAGACGACTTCTGGTAGGCAGCAAGGTTACTTGCAGGTTAGATTTTATCATATTAGGGTTTATTTTAAAGCTTTTTTAGGAAGCTTCTAGAATACCCTTAATTCTAAAGTTAATTTAGCCTCACTTCTAAGGCAGAGCCCTTCTAAGATCTCTACTACATGGCTAAATATTCAACCAGATTTCTCCACTCTGGATGAAGGGAATTCAAACATTTATGGTCCTATGTGATTTCTAGGAATTGTTCACCTTACCTCTTCTAGGAATTAGTCTTTCCTCAGAAGATTTTCATGACAAGAACAAGGGTTTTACCTTATGCATATACAGATTGATATTCAGCAAAAACTCAAGGGGACTCCTATGCAGATTTCTGTATCTCTTTCTCTGCTTAGCTTTTTTTTTTTAAAGCTGTTTAAAAATTTTTATTTATTTATTTATTTGGCTGTGTTGAGTCTTCGTTGCTGTGCACGGGCTTTCTCTAGTTGTGGCGAGTGGGGGCTACTCTTCGTTGCGGTGCGCAGGCTTCTCATTGCGGTGGCTTCTCTTGTTGCAGAGCACGGGCTCTAGGTGCACGGGCTTCAGTAGTCGTGGCTCAGGGGCTCTAGAGTGCAGGCTCAGTAGTTGTGGCGCACGGGCTTAGCTGCTCTGCGACATGTGGCATCTTCCTGGACCAGGACTCGAACCTGTGTCCCCTGCATTGGCAGGCGGATTCTTAACCACTGCACCACCAGGGAAGTCCGAGCTCTCTCTCTCTTTTGAACTCTGCTCTTAAGATTATAGCTGCCTGGCCTCCCCAAACTGATCTGTTTCCTCGACTCAGCAAGTTGCTGTGTTCCTTTTCCCTCTGCTGTGCCTTTCTCAAGGCAGTAATCTGGGATAATCATAGGGATTCTTTCAGGAATCCAGTTCTACACTGCCAGATGTCTAATGTCTGAAACTTGCTATTTCATATATTTTGCCTGATTTTCTAGTTGTTTATGGTGGGCTGTTGTTTCTAGTTGTTTATGTTTATTAACTGTTAGCAGTGAATCCTTTCTAGGTGGAAATGGAAATTCCCCTCTCAAAAATTTTAAAACCATTAAATTGACATGGCAGATAAGACTGAGGAGAAGACATTAGAGGAAGCAATGTGAAAGATGACACTGAAACACCAGACGTCAGTTTGTGAGACTTTTAGAAACTGAAGTCAAAATATTGCACCATTTTGGGCTTCCCTGGTGGCGCAGTGGTTGAGAGTCCGCCTGCCGACGCAGGGGACGCAGGTTCGTGCCCCGGTCCGGGAGGATCTCATATGCCACGGAGCAGCTAGGCCCGTGAGCCATGGCCGCTGAGCCTGCGCGTCCGGAGCCTGTGCTCCGCAACGGGAGAGGCCACAACAGTGAGAGGCCCGCGTAACGAAAAAAAAAGAAGAAAAAAAAAAATATATATATATATGGCACCATTTTGAATTCCATCCACTCCCACTCCCAATTTTACCCACCAATTGCCCAGGACCTCTTCCCCTGCCTGCTCTAGAGCACTTCTGAGGCCGCTTTATGGCCTAAAGAATATTTTTTTAAGTGCCTTTGAATCAAAAATATATATATTAATGCCTAAATGATATCTTGCTGTTCACAAAGATTAGTGGGGTACTCCAAGTTCATTTGTCTTCATTTTTTTCCCCTCTATTGAGAGCTTACGTGCTATGAGCTTAGTGAAGATTTTTTTTTTTTTTGACCACACTGTGCGGCATGGGGATCTTAGCTTCCTGACCAGGGATCGAACCTGTGCCCCCTGCAGTGGAAGTGCGGAGTCCTAACCACTGGACCGCCAGGGAAGTCCCTGAAGATATTTTGTAATTGCTTTAAAACTCAAGAATCCATAGCTAAAAGCAATTAAAAATTGATCTGAACAACACAATGAAAATACAATATATGAAGTTTTTGGCTCTCCCCTTAGTGTATTGTACTGTCAAAGTTTTTTTGGAACTCTGGTTCATTTGGACTTGATTTGGTGGAAGATAGTATGCATTAAACATAAATTCCCTTGTTGTACAAGAGCAGTCGTTCTTCTGTAAGTATAAAACAGCAAAAAGAGATTTTCTTCCCTGTCTTCGTGCTGATGGGAGTGCTGTGGTCTTTGCTATGTGTTCACAAGCTGACAAAATGGACAGTACATTTTTCACGTTGTTTCAGCCCATGTAAATTTTTCGAAATAAATGGTTCCTGCTTGCCAAACCTCAGTGAATAACACTGACTTCTTCTCAGTCCACGAAGCTTACCACATGGATTACATATATGCATTACTCACACAGCACAATCACTGGCCCATATGCCAGAGTGAAATATGATTTTACAGTTGCCTCTAGAGCACACATTTCCAGCTCTGGTTCCACATACAAGGAGACAGATTTGCAGGTTTTATTTTCTTACACAGATTCAAATACATTTGCCTCAAGCAGAAATGTACGCTCCATAGGTAGTTCTTTTGTTGTAGGAAACTCTTGCTTCTTTTCAATCTGTCACCTATTAAAAAAAAAAAGAGCAACACTGCACTGTTCGCATCGTTAAAACTTAAAACAGGTCCAAAGGAAAATGTGCCTTGGAAATCCTTCACTGATTTGTTTTTGTAGAACAGCTGGAGGTGAGGCCCACGGTACTAATCACGTCGAGTTGCTACTGGTCAAATTGCACATTCAGGAAATTCATAATTAGGTGGTTATATCCCCTGAGTTTACTCCGAAGCACTCTTTACAACTCTTGATTTGTCTTCTTCCTTGTCATTAAAAACAACCAGAGAGAGAGAGAGAGAGAGAGACAGGAGAGAGAGAGAGAGTCAGGAGAGGAAAAGGGAAATTGAAATAGAATTTCTAAGTTATGTCTCTAAAATAAACCAAATTGTCTGTGAATACTGGCCCTCTCTTAAAAAGAAAAACAGCCAGAGAATGTGTATATATTAACATGTATGTGTGTGTCTTTCTCAAAAACATTCAAAAAGGGTTAAAAACATTTTTAAAAGGTGTTCTCCTTAAAAACTGTGCTCTGAAACATTCATCTGTTTATGTTTCAAAGAGTGTGGATTTAAAATTAACTGGTACTACCCCAACTTCAAGGATTAAATTTTAATATTTCATGTAAATTGTATATGTTTCCTTATTCTATTTGCTTCTCTACCTGCCAGCCTTGGAATTATTAGGTAATTAATGTAATGCCAGAATTTGTAGCTCAAGGCGTTTGTCGATCCTTTGCTGGTTATTAGCAAATTTCTCAGTTCTGTATCAGAAGATCTGACTTCTAATCTATACTTTGGAACAGCAGGGTTTCTTAGGATCTTTACTTCTTTATTAGGTAGTTTTAGGGAAAATGGGGAAAGAGAAAATGCTCCAGGAGCCGAACTGTGGTGAGGAATATATATCATTAGTTTCCTAGTAATCCCATACCACTAACTGTTGATTCATTGATCTAATAGAAATAAACAGAGGTTAAGTGCCACATGCTAGTTAAGCAAATAAAAGCCAAATAGAATTCCTCAAAAAGTCAAATATAGAATTACCACATGATCCATCAATTCCACTTCTGGATACCCGAAAATATTAAAAACAGGTACTCAGACAAGTACTTGTATACCAATTTTCATAGCACCACTGTTTTCAATAGCTCAAAGGTAGAAACAATCCAAATGTTCAGCAATGGATAAATGGATAAATAAAGTGTGCTACACACATACAATGGGATAGTCTCAGCCATAAGAAGGAATAAAGTACTGATACACGCTACAACATGGATGAATCTTGAAAACATGGCAAGTGAAAGAAAGCAGACACAAAAGTCACATATTGTATCATTCCGTTTATATGAAGTATCCAGAATAGGTAAATCTATAGACACAGAAAGCAGCTTGGTGGTTGCCAGGGGCTGAGGAAAGGAGACAATTAACAATAACTGCTTAATGGATACAGGGTTTTATTTTCGGGTGATGAAAATATTTTGGAACTAGATGGAGGTGGTAGTTACACAACATTGGGAAGGTACTTAATGCAAATGCCACTGAGTTGTTCACTTTAAAATGATTAATTTTATGTTGTGTGAATTTTACCTCAATAAAAAAGTAAAGTAAAAAAAAAGAAAAAGAAATAACACATGTTTCCTCTAAGGACCTAGCACTTCTTGGAGGCTACAGAACTTGATGTTCCTAACAGAGTTGTAGGTAGGACCACAATCTAGCAAAACAATCTATCTGGGCTTCACTTTTTCCAAAAGCCAATTTAAAATGTTAATTCATTATTCAAAACAAGACTTGTAAACATGGCAATAATCATTTTCATATGTTTTCCTCCAGAAACAGGTCCTTACATGAACTATAGGTTCATTCTGAGCTCCACTTTCAAACTCTGCCCCGATCTTTCTTTAACGTACATGTTAAACCAATACATTACTGAAGTTTCATGTAAATTTGACATTTCTCAGTTATTAAATGATAACCCCTCATGTCAAATAGAACCTCCTTCTTCCCCAGGAACTTTTCTTCCCCTCCTTAATTTCACTAAGGAGGGGGGTCGGTAGCAGAGGAGTTATAGTATAGTCTGTTCTTATCTTAAGGAAAAAGAGAGCTTAGAAGCAGAAAGAAAAGAACAGGGGCATTTCAGATTAAATTACTTTTTCAAAAACATACAAATAAAGTTGTAGCAAAGAAAATACACACAAGCAAAAGGATCAAATGGGTGAAGTTAGGCATGAGAGATTGCCCTCCACCCAGGGAAGTGTGCATGTTCTTCCTGGCTCTCAGGTGTGGCTAGAGAGGTAGTCTGCGTCATCTCTCTCCTGGGAGAGCATGAGAAGATAGGGCACAGACAGCCTGTCTGATGTCACCATATCGGTCCTCAGGGGTAGAGACTTCTGGGCAGGCCACCATTCACTGAACTGTCACTGCGTGACATACACCAGCAGCTGGAGCTGAGCTCTGATGAACAGATCACTCAAGACCAAGCAGCCAGAGAGTGGAACAAGCTGAACATTCAGAACAGGCTATCTATGAATTACAGTTGCTGGAGGGCAGAGAACATAACTTAAAACTTGGACAGAAAGGATAATAGAACTACCTAAAGAGATACAAGGGCTACACAAAATAGACTTTCTTGATATAAAAACAACAACAAAAACATGATTTTTAAATTTAAAATTCATTAGTGAAGAAAATAGTAACTGTTGAAATTCAACTAGTAGCCTGGAAATTGGATGCAAGAATATTACAAAGCTCAGAGGAAAAAAATGTAAATCATGAATACAGAGATGGAAGAGAGGTTTAAGGACACTGACATGAGACTGGAGTTACAGAAAGGGAAGATGATGCACATGAAGGACAGGACATATTTAAATAAAACAAAATGAAGCATGCAAACAAAAATATTTCCCTGGATTGAAGAAAGGATACCAAGTTTCAGGCAGGAATGATGAGAAAAGATTATATCTATGCCTATGTCTATATCTATATCTATCTTTGTCATCATATATATAGATAGCTATAGATATATACACACATCTATCTATGCCTATTTATGCATATATAATATTTCTTCAAATGTGTATATACACATATATATGACTAGACATATCCTGCTAAAAATTGTGAGCTCCAAAGATAAAGAGAAAAATCTTATTCTTTTTGTGTAAAAGTTTGTAAGTTATTTAGTTTTGGCTGCCTTGGGTCTTCATTGCCGCATACAGGCCTTCTCTAGTTGCAGTGGGCGGGGACTGCTCTTCATTGCGGTGCACGGGCTTCTCACTGCAGTGGCTTCTCTTGCTGTGGAGCCTAGAAGCCGGCTCTAGGCGCACAGGCTTCAGTAGTTGCAGCACCTAAGCTCAGTAGTTGTGACTTGCGGGCTCTAGAGTGCAGGCTCAGTAATTGTGGCGCATGGGCTTAGCTGCTCTGCGACATGTGGGAACTTCCCGGACCAGGGATCGAATCCGTGTCCTCTGCATTGGCAGGCGGATTCTTAACCACTGTGCCACCAGGGAAGTCCCTGTAAGTTACTTATAAAGGAAAAAGATTAGACTGTCATGAAATTCTCCTTTGCAACACTAGGAAGCTAGAAGACAATGGAATACATTTTCAACTTAAAAATGTATTTCATCTGTTAGGGTAGAAGAAAGATGTTTACAGATACATAAGGATTCAGAGAAGTCACACATCTCATTACTCATCTGGGAAAAATACTAGAAAAAGACTTTATTAATTGAAAACAAGCAAACTAACAAAATAGAGACTTGAAGAAGAGAGAAAGCCATAGTGAGCAACAGACTTGTGATATTTAATTAAAAATAGCTGAACAATGATAGACGAGGAATGTGTAACTAAATAAAGATTCTAGAAAGAGAGAATTGTACTAAGAAGGAAACTTCTAATAATAATCTGGAATTTAAAGAACTAAACCACCTTAGGAAAACTAAAGAATTGTGGTGAGGAGGGGCATGAGAAAGAAGGAAGCAAAAATATTCCAAAGGCTTCAACTCTTGGGAGGAGAATAAGGAGGAAATTGCAACTGAAGTCTTCTTCAAGTTGAATATCATGGGTGAAGAGCGATAATGGAGTAATGGAAATTCTCAGTTGGGGAAAAGTTGGTGTCTTCTTTTCATGAAATACTAGGGAAATATCTGTCTGATTTTATGACAGCTGGGAAAGGACAAGTAACAATTAATGAAATGTAAACAAAGAGCAAAATCTTAAAACAGGTGTGGTGTTACTAATACCATGGAACATGGAATTTGAGTTTCAAATCTCTAAACAGAAAAGAGGGACACTTTGTAATGATAAAAAGCATAATTTATGAAGAAAATAAAACAATCCTAAGTTTTTATACATGAAACAACATAGAAGCTAAACAAATTTTTTAAATTATTAGAAACTCAACTGTTAAATAAAATATTACAGTAAAGGACTTGAATATCAGAATTGGCCAGTTCTGATAGACAGACAAGTAGATATAGGTAGACAGACAGAAAACGACATAGAGGAATTAAATAATACAATCACAAAGCTTGTTTTATATGGATACAGTCATCCTCATTATTTGTAAATTCAGAATTTGTGAATTTGCCCCCTTGTGAAAATGTGTTTGTAACCCCCAGATAAATATTTACAGAACTTTTCCATCCCTCACAGACACGTGCAGAGCAGTGAAAAACTTGAGGTCAAATAAGGTGACACTCTGCCTTCTTATTTCAACTCTCATATTATAGAAGTGTCCTCTTCCCAGTCTATTTCGTATCAGAATTTGGGCATTTGGGTGCTTTTTGTTGGTGACTTCACTGTTTAGATTGGTCCCCCAAGTGCCAAAGTGCCGTCTGGGGTCCTACATGCAAGAAGGCTGTGATGTGCCTTGCAGAGGCAATAAATATGGTAGATAAACTTCATCTAGGCATGAGCTTCTGTGATACTGGCTGTGGAATCAATGTTAATGAGTCACCAGTACACATTAAATAAGGAGTCTTTAAACAGAAACACATAAAGAAGGTTATGTATTGACCAG